ACTGCAACGGAGGACACAACTGCAACGCTACAACCGTCTAGGGAACAACATCGGGTCAGATCTCTCGCAAAACCAGAACCGTCACCGGAAGAATGGGGATCGAGATCTGCCAATCACTTTAGATCACGTGAGCAGTCGACCCCAATCACCTGATGAAGATTAGCAGTAAGCAGTCGAAATGTCGTGATCTACATCTCAAGTGACTTCATCGTTGATCTTATGACTTTCTCTACAGAATCTCTTGGGAATATAATTGATTGACAACGTGTTCCGGTCTTGGTTTCCATAAAAACTCAACAGCAAGGCGCTAATCGTTCGTAAGAAGTTTCCTTCCTCGATAATTGAGTCAGAACACGCCTAAGGTAGGTTATGGTTCGTCTAACAATACTAAGCCGGTTCACGATAAAAAGAACAGAGATCACATATACTGCAAACATAGGCATGCTACGCATCATGAATGGTTATTTTTTCGGATGGGTGGGTTAATGGGACATTTTGAGTGACTGACTTTTTCAATATTGTAAAGGTAAAAAGACATTTACTTTTAAAGTTTCTACCAAAAATGTCGTTCGATTGGGAGAAAAATAGACCCTTCCAAATTATTGGAAATAAACTCAGACGCAGGTACTTTGTGGAAGATTGGTCATTTTGGGTCCATTTGGAGACAGTTGTGGGATTGTGTCGGAGGCGAGCTGAGATATAGACTTAAGTGCGCTTAAGTATGTTTACCAAGGGTAATCATTGTACTGCCTTTAGGAGTCGCTCTTAGTTATCATGAATATTATACGCTCTTTTATAAAGTAATTTGGATATATCAACAAAGGTGAAATGGTAAATTGGCCACCGTAATTTATTCGTGTTTTTCTCGTTGTCATGTTCCCACCAATGACCTAGCTCCATTATCTGACTTTAAAAGCACACACAACCCACAATTCCTCTATTCGCTCCGACGAAGGGCTAACGCTCGAAACGTCAGCTTTTGTAATTGTTACGGTGGCCAATTTACCATTTCGACTTTGTTGATATATCCGAATTATCTCGTTACCCCCACCGACGCAGCCCCAAACAGCAAGNTTCTTTAGAAACTATCAGCCTTTATTCTTTTATAAAGTAGTTGAGTTTGCGGGGTTTCAGAGTTCTTTCTGTTGGTAACATTATACTGTAATAGCGCATTAGTTATAAGATTCTCGGGGCCAAAGAGATGACGCCTTATCATGGTGGTTCCAATTGGTGTATCCCTGCAGTTTACTGTAAATGACGACATTTTGTCGAGGATTGAAGCGCCTCTCTCATTCACGGTCCTGGCCGGTGATTGCCATCTATCGGGCATCCTTAGGAGAGCCACCATATTGTCTGTTTATTAAGATGTTGTAATTGTGCTGCTCGGGAACAGAAAAGACGTTCTTAGGCTGGGATTTCATGTCTTTCCAGAAGCTGTCGATTAGTCTAGGGGCCGCAAACCAATTCAATTTGTCTGATCCCTTCGCGTTTAACTTCACCCCCTTCACGATATTTCCTCCGGTAGAGAACAATTCTTGCCGGCCTGTTTTAAAACAGAACATTTGCTATCTGGTAAAGGGGAAGGAGTGGAAAGCCCTCCTTTAACAGTTATAACTCGAAGAAAGTAGCCAAAATTATAAAGGAACTTTCCTGAAACTCGTTTATTAGATCAACATTTTAATGTCTCAATTTTATGTCCACTCGACAACCACCTTGGTAGAAGCCATAAGTTTGTTAAAGCAGTTCAATTTCATCTGTGATTTTTTTGCCTTCCCCCTCCCCCTGGGACTTTATAGATTATGCTAGTAAAAGTAGCATATTATGCTAGTAGCATTGCTTTTTTTGGCGAAATTATGCTAAAATTATGCTCTTTTTTCCAAATTATGCCCCTTGTTTTAAAATTACGCTTTTTGAAACAATTGGAAATAAGTCCAAAAAATACATTTTTTAATTAGAAGCCGTTGGTCTACAAGAAAAAAACGCAACAAATCCACAATGAAATTCAAACAAACGTGTGGTTCATGTTAACATGCACACTAGTACTGGACTAGACATCGCCTACAATGTGACTTCCGGTTCCGGTGCACCCCAGACTCGGGCTCAGACCGTTTCAGACGCCGCTCAGTGATTCACAGTGAACAATTTTTAAAATAATTTTTTAATTTTTTTTAAATATAGACCAGTGTGCAGCAGTTCTGCGAACAGTAGTTGTAAAACTTCTTTTATTTTCCGACGCGTTTTGTCTAACTGTCGTAGACTTCTTTAGGGAGTTTTAAAAGTATAACTAAACGCCTGTATTTCTTAGTCAAAGTTACAGGGGCCGATGACCGTAAAGGCTTGGCCGGAATTACGAACGGGAACAGGCTTATAAATAAAGGCGTTTAATTATACTTGTAAAACTCCCTGAAGAAGTCTACGACAGTTAGACGAAACGTGTCGCAAAGTAAAAGAAGTTTTACAACTACTGTTCGCAGAAGTGCTGCTAAATAGTCTATATTTAAAAAATTATTAAAAAAAAAATTAAAAATAAAATCAGCCAATTTTGCCTTCCATTTCTTCTTTCTCTGATTTGAATCCCTTGGGTTACGGAATGGTTACTAAGAACCGACAGAATAAACCAGAGCCTTTTAGCTCATCATTTGTTTTATTTTCCAGATGATGAGGCTAGAAATTCTACAATAAGCACAGTGAAAAACCCCTACATGGGCAACCCAACACCTTCCATCACCCAAC